ACAGGAAATTTTAAAATTGGTTGTATACTGGCCTTTAATTTGCTAACACCGCTGGATCAAGAGTAGGCAGGGAAAGGTTTAATTACGACATCATTAAGCACTGACAACAGGCAGACAGATTAAATCAAACACAGATATCTTAGTGATCGAAAAAAACTCCTTCAACAGTTGAAGGTTTCGAAAAAGCTATTGCTCTTTTTAGGGTTGGTGAGCTGAACTGGACAGAAGCAGAAAATCTGAATCTAAAGATACTTCTAAAGATAAATTCTACGATACATCACTGACATTAGTGGGAAGGCCTCATTTAGTTTTCTCTCTATAAAACACAACTTCAGCGGTGAGCAATGTTATTAAGTTGTCAGGAGAGAGAATTATAGGAGCCTTCATCCAAATGTGCACATGAGAATGAGAACAACTTCATTCCAGTTAAAGACTATCTTTCTGAACTCATCTCTCTTGACTTTAATTGAAACATGATGGTAATATTCTCTGTGTTACAGAAAAACACATATTCTATAACAACAAGGGTGACATAATAACACCCTCTTTCAGAGTCGGGTGTTTTGCCTAAATCAGCTATGAGCCTTCCAATATGAGGAAATGTTAAATCAAGTTAAAGCAGATATTAAAACCTCTAAATGATCATTCACGCTTTCAAACGGAGAAAAAAAAGGAAAAGCTGAAAACACCGACAGTATAGACAAAGTTCTAATCAAATATTTACCCAGCCTTCCGTCACGCATCTCTCTGGGGGTCTTCAAATGGGCGCGTCGGGGGGGAGCCCTGGGAAAGGTCAGTACAGATCAGCGCCTCATCAGACACAACACTGTGGGATCAAATGAGAGGATGTCGGCCAACGGTGAGCCCCCTCAGTGGGGCATCAATAAAGTCTGGAGGGTTGGAGGAGAGGAAGGAAGACACCAGACAATAAAGTGGAAGGAGAGAAGTGATGATGGAAGGCCGAAAATTAGAGCATTCTATGAGTCAGTTCTGTCGTATTCTGCTTTGGGTTACAAGGCTAAACCTCATAGAAGATTCTCTAAATCTGTGATATATTTTTAATAACAGCACTAATGCTATACTTAAATACTTAAAATGATTAAATTAACAAAATTGTTTATTCCCTTTGGGAGTAAACACACAGTTCATAACTAATTAATAGGTGTTTTGAATTTGATCATCACCACATTACCACAGCCAGAATTTACCTACAGTTTGAATTTTGATACAGTTACTGTCAAACTATTTGACATACAATGTAATACGTAGACAGCCTTTGTCCCTGGCTGCTGACTTGCAGCTCTCTTGTTTACATTTGTGCGTTAATATCAAAGATACAAAATGTATGTAATATAGAATCGTACAAAACGCCTCAAAGCTTAGAGGACCTTGAGATACAACAGCAGCAGCCTTAATGAATCATACAATTCAAAAGTAAAAGCAGAGTGACTCATAAGACTAAAACCATCCAGTTGCTCCCTGAAAGCAAAAGCATAATGGTGCGAAAAAAGAACAAGAGTGGGGAGATATGGTTGGAGAGTGATAATAGCTCAGTGCCTACGTCAGTGATGAAAGAGAAACCAGACCCTTGGGGTGTCGTGGGATAAATAAAGTAGCAGTGAGGGTGGGTAACATTATCCACATCTTCCCGTTGCCCGGGGCTTTGCTGCCTGTCATGCTCTGCTGGCCGGTGATGTCACCGCCGCGTGTCCATTCACTCTTTCGCCCTCACAGACATACACAAACCTTCAAACAGTGTGTGAGAGCCTGTACGCACACATAATGCAGAAATGTACCAGACACGCATTCAAATCACTCGCGGGTCACTGCGCAATGGCACAAAGCTGCCTTTCATGTGCAGTGGCAAGGTAAACTCTTACTTAGAGGGATGTTTTTCCTCCTCTTTCATGTGTTCGGCTGCACCTTCCTTCAGCTAGCTGTTTTTGCTCAGCAATAGACGACTGCAAACCTGTGTGCCCTCCTTCAAAAAGGGATGGCCGAAGGAGAAAAAGAAGACATAAGATCGAGTGGGTTGTTTCCTTACTGCTAAAGCATGCTGTTACTCCTAACTATGTCCCCATGTTAACCCCAGTTTAGTCCCCTCAGCACTTCAGTGTTTTCCATAAATAGGATCACACAAGGCGGCGCGTATCATCTCTCTCCACCTTATTTTTTTCTCGGCTATGATCAGACGTCACCTGTGTTTTGTTTATTACGTGCACAGTGCACTCTAAGGTTGCCGTAATGCTGTGCTTTAGTGGATCTGAAAATGCTGAAGCCAGCCCATCAAAGGAAAATACTGCACACTTCAATGGGAGGCCAAGGACGCTCTCACCGTGACCAGAGGAGGCTTTTAAATCACACTGAGTGTACACTATGTACTGCACTCTATCTGGGCTACACATCTCATCTGTCAGGTGAATGCACAGCGCTGGAAATACAACCACTGCCTCCTCCTCTCAAAATAAAAATAAATAAATCTGATTTTATTAACAATTTACAATATTGCATCATGTAGATAAATCATTAAAAATGCTCTATTTCCTAAAGGCTGCATCTTTTCTCCCCCACTGCAATAATGCTCCCTCTGATCCTTTCTTTCCCCTCATTTCAAAGGCTTTTATTGCCTGATGTAATATCATGGATTAAAGAGCTTCTGCGGATGGTGCAGGGGTTCTCATTACACAGAGCAGCAGTTGTCTAACTCTTCCACAGGAGAGCTCAGGCTCACACAGTGGTCAGGCAGCGTGAGCTGTGAGCCGTTTCTGCTCATGTAAACATCAAGAAGATTTCTATTTGCCTCTCTTAAGGTGTGTTGTTTTTAGTCCTTTAAGTGTGTCCCATTACATTCTGAAAGAGGCTCAGTCATTAGGTTGTCGTTTTTTTTTTCTTACTTAGTGAAATTGCGCACAGCGTGTGATATATATATATATTTTTTTTTTTTCTGGCAGCAGTTGTTTGGAAGGAAGAAAAGATTGTCCAGACTTTAAAACACGCAGTGGCTGAATGCTAACGGTGTAACCTCAAACTATTGACATGCACATCTGGACAGCTCACCTCGCTGTTGCCATGCATATCTGCATCATCCAAACCTTCCCTATTCCCTGTTTGCACTTTTAGAGGGAGGTGGGGGGGGGCTCACTCAAACAACACACAAAACAAACAGCCTCCAGAGCTCAACACAACCATCTACATCTCACTTTCTCCCCGTTTATTCCTTAAAAAAAAGCAGTTATTTTATGACAATTTCAGATTTTTTGATGAGTCATTCCAGACTCTTCCTTGACCTTCACTTGAATGCTGTAAAAAAAGAGAAAAAGAGAGAAAAAGAAAAGAGAACAACCATTAAATGGGGGGAGATGATGGCAGCAACACTCTTCTGATTAAAAAAAGCAGCCGAATGAAGGGATTAAGTTGTGAATCAAGAGGGAACAAAATGTACCTTCTTTGTCTGAATTAATGCATGCTGATTGGACAAAAAAAAAAGTCCAGGGCATTTAGACGGGCCGACTTTCAGAATAATCAGCTGGTCAGGTGCCTGAGCCAATGTAAATATCCCTGTCTTCCACATTCGTTAGATGCTATCGTGACAAAGTACTAGCTGAGGTCAGCCAGACGTACACGGTGCGTGTCTGACCAAAATGCCAATGAAATGGGCAGCCGTTTTCAGCATAAGCTGCATTCCCTTGTCACCTTTTGTTGACTTCAAACACGCTCCATAACCTGCCCTCTTTGAAGTGGCTGTAACTTAATTAGTCTTGTGCTTGATTAAGTTCATCTGTTGTAGTGTGGGGAGAAATTACAGATTTTTCCACTTCCAGTTTTTCTCTCTTCATATTCAAATGATAATCCAGAATCCCCCCCCCCCCCCCCCCCCCCCCCCCCCCTCTTTAAAACGCACTCTGTGACGTCGGGAAGCTCTTTGGATGTGTGTGCAGACACCGCTCATGTCAGCTCATGTGTGCTTTATGAGGAGGAGGAAGAGACGGGAGGTGGGCTTTGCCCTGTGATGTCATGGAAGTGGTTTAGTGTGCAGCTCAGGCTAGATAGCTTCTTCCTACCGAATCAAAAGAAAAGAAAACGCATCTCAATGTTACTTTGTTTGCTTGGCCCAGAGGCTGAGGGGAGTTAATTACGTTGGGCCAGTTAGATGTACCTTTTGATTATCTAGGGGTAGGTTTAATCCTAGTTAACCCAGGGACACTGGAGAAAGGTCACCAGTTGATCACAGCACACCTGGGGATAGGAAACCACTCACACTCAAATTCTCATTTACGGGCAAGTTAACCTGTGATGTGAAACAATTATCAATATTCCAAAGATTTTTCAAAAATAGCCTCTCTATGGAGCTTAAACAGACTGTTCCCTATGCTGCCACATTTTTCTTTTTGAACAAGTTGTACTTTACAGCCAGAGAAGTGTCTCAGCTAAATGGTAATCATACAGCCCCATCTGGTGGCAACAAAGGTCTTTTTTTAATTGGAAGGCATTCAGCGTTACATATGATCTTCACTATAGTTAGTATAGTGATATTTTTCCTAAATCAGAGGGCAATACTGGTCAGTAATGTGCGCTCAAATATATAAAAAGTGACTTACTGAAAAGACTCCCAGACAGTTTGAAGTGATCTTGTCAGTATATAGAGTTTTTCAGGCCTTAATAAAAGTTTGCTTTTGTTCCTGAAGTTGGAGGTTTTCAGAGTTGAGTTTGACAATTAGGATTCGAGGAAACTTCTGGTATATGGATTAACAGTTTTTTTAACACTAAACTTTCATTTGAGTCTCCTGTAAATCATTAATGAAATATTTGCCACACCCTCATAAACAATGTCATCTGAAGTAGGAAGTATTTTAGAAATATTTCTGCAGTCAACACTATGAATGCAACAAGTGGATGGACGGAGAAAAAGTCTGAGGCTCAAACAAGCCCATTTTACAGCAGTGTTATAGAATCTCTATGTTAAACTGTATTCACTATCACAGAAAAATCCAAAAAGACACAGGAACTTTAATACACCAAGATGTTGATTAAAAATGTTCTATCACAACAATTTGATTAAAAAAAATAGACACATGAGCAGCTTCTCCATGAAACTGAGTTTAATAGATTGTTAAAAATAAGGCTATGATACCGTTTTAGCAAACATGGACTAGAAGAGACCACTGTTAGTTTATCCTGGGAAACGCAGGTGCAATGGCTAAATTTGCCTCTGGCCTCTGGGATTTTACAGGTGGAACATAACAGGTAAGCACACACGCCTGGAAAAATAAACAAACACTGACACCTAGGTCTTGTCTTCAAACTTCAACATTTACCGGACACACAAACACACACATACACTTATGGTCTGCCTACCAGAAATGGTGGCAAAAAACTCAGACCAAGCAGACAACATTGCAGTGTTCTCTTAAAAAAAGACATGCATAGCTTTGTACATGAATTATTCTCTAAAAAGGTGTTTTTGTTTGCACACAATTCTCAACATGATTTCATGGGTCTATTTTATTTGACCATTTTTAAGAATCATGTAAACTTCTTGGACTATTTTGTTCACAATAGCCTCTTATGATAATTAGTTTATGTAGAAAGTTACATTCTGAGCCCCGACGAGCTCCATAACATAAGAAATAAATACTGGAATGGCAAAAACACAATATAAAGTTACTGCTTTGAAATGGACTTCTGACCAAACGTGGCTCAACTGTTTTGATATAAAAACCAAAATAAACTTCTGCTCAGTTGTGGAATCTTCCTGTAATATTACAGTCAGTATTTAAAATACTCATATCCTAATAAAAGTGTTTCAGAGATGAATACAAAACATATAATGTCAAAGTAAAAATTAAATTAAAAAAAGCCTTCTAGGTGCCCAAAATGTACATGTAACAAAAAAAACAAGGAATGATGAAGCAATCAGAAGAGATTTTCTTTAGTGCTGTGTGGTCACTGGCAAAAATGTCGAGTTAATCATTTTCCCTAATAGAGGCCCTGAAAATAAACACCTAGTATTCCAGATTATTCGACATGAATGAGTGCTTTTCTTCATTCCTTTGGTTACTTGGACCACATTTGCTAAAAATATTTATTCCCTTTACACAATCAGCACGGAGTAGTGTAGTTTACATAAGTTACACGTGTGTCCCCCCCACACCCCGCCCACCAAAACGTCAAGCGACTAACATCTAACATTTTAAAGTGCCAATGAGCTGAAGCAAACAGGAAGCACTGAGCTTTCTTCACTCACAGGACGGAGTTTTAGCTTCAATATGGCCGAGTGGGCACATGGACAGACACACCTGGGTGAGGATTACAACTTCCTCGTGCTGCTAATGCTAACCTGGTTGTTGTATTCTCATAAAAAAAAACTAAAAGTACCCAAAGTGCTTCAATATTCTATCTAACTTCTAACATCCTCTCAAACAATGTATGTTCCCATGATGTTTGCTGACAACTGCGAAACAGTGTAAGTGTTTGCTGTGCATGGCTTGCTGCAAGCTGCTTTTCCAATCAAAGCGAGACAAAACAGTATCATATTTCAAATTGTGGACTTTTACACCCTGTCCAAACTGTTCATGTAAATGTCACACACGGGGTCTAAGTCAATGATGATTTACAGGATGTAAACAGACACCACCTGCTCCCTTTGAATGCCTGCAAAGCTGCTTTAAAAAATCCCTTTCACATCTGAACTCTTTTTCATATTTGAGAAACAAACAACAGCAAGCCTTTACCTGACCAAACTGCGCATACCTGATCTTGCAGACATGCTGCCTTTTTCCTGTGTGAGCCAGCTTCTCCAACATGCAAATCAGCAGAGGGGAAGGCCTGGACGTCTTCTTTAAGTTAACATAAACATCACCTTATCTGCTTCAAATTCACAAAAGATAAAATGTACAAAACATGGACTAAAATAATTACGTCTTTTTTTTGTTTTCTTTTGTTTTTCTATACAAAGTAGTCATCTACTCAGGCATAAAGGAAAATGAGTAAATTCAATTGAAAATGTTGAGGAGGGCATGCGGGGATGGTGGACGCCCCTGGTGTCGCCTGGACAGGTTTTCAGTCATGAGTCGTGGTGACCTGCCAGACAATGAGGTGGCTCTGCTCAGCTTTGGTGGGCGCCGACTGCTGGCTGCCTGTCGGCTCGGATAAACCATCCAACTCACCACTTTCATCACCTGAGGAGGTGGAGGAGGAGGATGAGTCAAGCAAAACAGCATGGCGTCCGTTCACAGCAAAGGGATCAGCTGTGAGTCTTTGTGAAAATTAAGTTTGAATTGTTTTTGAAAACTTTGTTGGCATGTCAGACTTTGAGTGCCTCACTACTAATACACACACACACAAAAACTGGTGTGGTACGCACCAATTCTGAAGTCAATGTAGCCTTCTCCTCCACTCATGACCAGGTATGTGTTTGACTCAATGGTGGCTGTATCAGAGGATTCAGAGGCCGGATCATCAGAGCCTGAATCTGCATTGCCAGGAGGTGGCATCGCCTGACCTGTGGCAAACAGTCACAGGACACGCAAATCAGAATATTCTAACTCCGAAGTCTCAGGCTGAAAGAGTGAAAAAGAGAGTTTTAGCAGGAACAGACCTTCTCTCTACCCATACAGTTAGAGGAGTGTAAAACAATCAGATCAAAAAGAAACAAAAGAAGTACATAAAGTGGACTCCGTCCCCCTTTGGCTGATAATCCTCTCCCCTGCATTACATCATAGCCTTTGTAGGAGCTAAGATAATCGGGCTTAGCATATGCATTTTCCAGTAATCATTCCTAATCATTTACAGTTTGATTTCTGCCAGCGGGAACTTTCTTCAAGGACTGCACTAAATGTCCAGATCTGACTAGAATTTCTCATTTGTTACCTAAAGTGAACAAAAAGGTTAATCTCAGGGATATAATTTCAATACAAGTGTTTAGATACCTGAATAGTACCAATTGTTAATGCCAGAGTGATGGACCAGAGGAAAGTCAGATACATATTGAGGTTCCGTGCAACTCAGAGCCTATGAATAAACTCTAGTTGCATTTTCTCCTAGTCATATAAATCTGAATTTTCATCATTAATATTTTTAGCTTGTAAGGGAGAAATACCAATCATCATACATTTAACTTAACTTAACTCAATATGACTCACATACTGTCACAGCACTCACTGTTTACTGTCCTCCACAGATAAAGAAGGACCGTTCCTCTCAAATTGTTCAACTATCATTTGACATTACGCATGTACCGTTAGAATGCTTACTATTCACTGTTCACAGGATATCTTATCCTAAAGGAAGATCAGGCCTTGCGGACTAAAGTCTGGGGCCAATAAATAGAAGTGCAAAATGCTGTACAATCAGAGCAGCTTGGTACGTCGTACTGTTCACACGTGCGTTCGTACTGGAAGTTTGATCTCTCCTTATAATACATTTCAATTCCTTGCTTCCTCAGACAGACTAAGACTCTTATATAAAAAACATTCCACAACAAGCTCTTGATCAGATAGTTTACCTGCAGTCTTACCTGGAACCGTCACAAAAAACTTAACAGCATCTCGGTGTCCGTGGAAACACAGCTGGGCGTGGGCCATTGAGCAGTATGGCACAAAGCTGCCTGGTAAGGTGCAGTCTGAACTGTCGTCCCTGTACACCCGCACAGCACTGCCGGGGCGATTCGACACTATTCCCAAATTCTTGTTAGCTGAAAAATTAAATCGATAACAATCTGCATTTTTTGAAAATTCATTTATATGCTTATTTTGTCATCATTGATGAAACAATAAAAGCTTTTATCTTCAAAAAGAAAAATGGCAGTTTTACTACAGACTTGATTAACGTGGCTTTAAATTGCTTAGATAAAAAGCAGGAAATACATCAGGCTGATGATCGAGAGAGAGGGTGAAATGTAAACTCAGTTATAATAAAAAGAATATTCAAGAGCAGCAGAGATATTCAATTCCACTAAATGGGCAGCCTTGAAGTATGAGCCTGACAAAAAGCGTTTTATGAAAAGAAACCAGTATCCATGGCAACTTAGCCATCATTTATTCAGGAAGCTGCATCTTGGATGTATTTCTTGCTGCACTGTTTAACTGCAATTTAATAGGAATCTGCAGACCAATGGTGAGAGGCGACAGAGAGGCTGTCAAGGCAGGGAGAGCAGGTGAGGAAACACTGAGTTCAGACTATGATACTTAGAGAGGCACCAAGCGGCCATATTAGAGATGAGGGGAGAGAAGAGACTGTGGCAGCAGCAGTGCAGGAATCTTACTAAAGAGGCCAAGTTTGATCACCTAACATCAGAGCTATGTGTTATTAACAAAAGATAATACTTATCCTGTGGTCAGTGTGGTTCAGACATAATGAACCTTCTGTTTACAGAGGTTTTAGAGTGTTTGGTCATCTTTCTGTACTTACTTCGGGCTGGGGCTGTGTCACCAAGCCAGCACACACTTAAATTGAGGGGCTGTCTTGGAGCATTGCCATAAAACCAGTCAGAAATATACAGCGTCATTGTGAATGTCACCAAGCCCGCTGTGCTGCAGTCCAGGAAGGACACTTTGCAGAATTTATGCAGCATGAGAGGCAGCATTAAATTAGTGCTAACGGTGTGCACATACAGTCCCAGCCAGGGGAGAAAAAGAAAGCATTCAGCTAAATATGTATATCAATGGTATACATGACTAGAACCTTTATGGAGCTGCTGTGCACAGCAAGCAGGGAGGTGATCAAAGACCCTGTCACAGTGAAAAAGGGTAATACAGATATCCTGTATTTTAAATCCTGCTTTGATGCCACCAGATTCCAGAATGAGCCTGAATGGCTTTATACATGTGCTTGCTACCTTCAGACAGCGGGATGGAGATGATGACTCCGTTTCCTGTCCCCACCCACAGTCGGCTGCAGGACACCACCAGAGCTGTGATTCTCACAAAAGAGAAGCCCAGTTTACCAGTACCTGCGACACACGCACAGAAAACTGTATACATCTCTATTCTAGAGGAAGGAGTGTGTAATCTTGCAGAAACACACAGATAACAAAACTCTGGCAACATGGTGGAAATCTACTGTTTTACCCAGCATTTTGCTGACATAGGGTTCAATGTCCACATCTTGCAGATGCTGGTAGGTGTGGGCATGAAAGAGTCGTAGCGTGGAATCCAGCCGGATTGACACCCAGATGCCGTCTCCTACCCAGGCCAGCTGACGGACCTGACTCTCCTTGCGAGGATGAGCATCAAAGGACTTCTGCTCAGGTAAAAAAAAAAGAAAAAAGAAAAAGGGCATGTTAAATATTGATCATTTCTATGTACTCAGGCTTTGAAAAAACAGTTTTAGTCAGTGATGTGTGATTTTAACATTACCTCTATCCTCATGGCCTTGGGCTGGATAACATAGATTTTGTTTCTGTAGCCACACCAAACCTTGTCATGGACTACCGTCATACAGCGAATGGAGTGGTGAGGGCGGCCAAGATCCAGTAGGTGGTAGTTTGTTAGATCCCACTGGCCATCTGTATGGGGGGAAAGGGGTTATTCTGGCAAAAACAGCCCTGAGATTAAACATTTAATAAACATTTTAAACAACAACTTGATAATGTGTGCACACACTTACCAACGCCTCTACGGAAAATTGCTAATGTTCCATCAGCCAAAGCAACAAGAACTCGTCCTTTAACATGCCTTAAACAGACACAAAACCTTTTACTAAAATGTTCTTTCGCATAAATACAAACATATACATGGCATGTAGGTGCTTAAATAAATCCGTAGCAAACTATTTTCTCACACTATGCTGAGGATGGAGTCTTTCAGCTTGATGGCATGGAGACACTTCCTCCAACGAGCCACAGATGAGTGCACATACAGACTTGAAATGAAGAGAAAGAGAGAAGAGGTAAAGCAGATCAAAGTATTCTGTTGCTGAAAATGAAAGAAAATAACCCACAAAAAACGCATTATTGAGCCAGTAGTGTGCTCAAATCTTCACTTTGATTGGTATATTTATGGCAGGGGTGCTTTTTCTCTTGTTTTTGTCAAACTAAAAGCTCCCTCTAGTGGCAGCTGCCTGTCTCACCATCCGTTCTGAGCTCCCAGCCACATGGTGGGAAGTGCGCTGCTCATCCTCAGGACTTCCCCCGCTGATGTTTCTGCATCCTCTGGCAGAGAAGTCAAACCATCCTGCCCTGAGCCCCTGAAGCCAGAGGGATTCATCAGACTTTCACATAATGCCAGTTTATACACAAATAATTCTCCTCGAGCTTCACATATCTGTGTTAACATTCTGCAGTGCCCCAAAGAAAAAAGCAGCACAAGGACCTTATAATTCCTGTGTTTTTTTCCCCCTGGTGTTAGTCAATCCAAAAGGTCAAATCGAGATTATTAGGATTTTTTCCCAAGATATCTAAGCTACTGTGACTAAAAGACTAAAACACAGAAATTAGAAATCCACTATTCCACTTTAATCAGATTCTCTAAGGTGCTTGTTCTCACCCCTGTGTTTCAGCAGGAGATGATTCAGTGGGTCCCACCCCCAGTGGATCTGTGAAGACATGCTCCGTGTAGATTCCTGGCTGATTTGGATCTACTCCCTGATCTTCCTCTCCTTCTTCGCCCACACCAGCATTAGCTTCTGTTGCTTCTGTTGCCTCCTCTGCTGTAGGAACCCCATCTTCAGCTGGACTGGTCTCTCTGGAAAGCTCAACTGAGGGAATTGTAAATTACTGAGTTAGATTGAATTCTCTAAGATAAAGGTTATCATTGTTTACCTTGGTGTAAGAAACAGGGAAAGTTGTGTCACATGATCACTTAGTGTTATCCTCGATTAGCACTTTTTTTTTTCAAACTTTACTTCACCTGTAATATAACTGTGTCTTCCTTTACATTTAGCTGTCTAAAGTAAGTATTGACTATAATGGGACAACTCTGGAAACCTTTTCATTATTCTGTATCTGATCATTTCTTTATGCCAGAGCAAAGCACATGTGGAGAAAAGGCCTGAAAAAGATCTGACTGGTTAACCAAAAACAACAAATTGTTTGAATTCTTTCTCTGTCCATGACCAAATTAACATGGGAATTAATTCCGGCCTGGGTTGCTGTGGGTTTAACACAGAAAATGCCTTTATTATCATTAGATAGAGTTTAGTTTTAAACACATTACTGAAAAGAAAAATAACTGCATTTTTTATTTGCACTTTCTACCTGAGCCTGACAAGGCGCTGTACTCAGCCGGATGGTCAGTGACACCTGAAGCAGCTGTCTGAGGGACAGCTGTGGCGCCCTCTGCTGCCATGGTGCCGTCGCTGCCTGTGGAGCCCACACTGGCCACACTGCCAGCCAGTGACACCCCATCCCCTTGGCAGGATTCGGGATCTTGGGGTGCCTCCTCACTTCCTGGATAATCAGTTTCCAAAACACCTTAAAAATATGATTAAAACAAAGTGAAGAAAAAGAAAACACAACTCCAGGATTTAAAAAGCCAATAGCCACATTAAATGAACTTGACTTAAACAAAGTGTGACCATTTAACACACCTGGAACACTGGCAATGCAGACCACATGTGTGTTGCAGGCATAGAAGCTGTCGAGGATGTCCGAGGGCTGAGTGGCATCCAGCACCATAACCTTGGTGGAGGAGTGGGTGCTCATGCACACCCACACTCGACTGGAAATCTCATCCTGAAGGATCAGCTCTTTGTCCCCTTTCTCTTGGTCCTTTGAAATTTTCCATTAAAAAAATTTGAAAGATTTTACCATAAAGATTTAAACAAAGATTTATGAAAAAACATCCTTAAATAACTTGCTTTATGCTCTTGCTCCAACTGGTCAAGGCTACTCTGAGAACCTTTTGTCTGCTTGATGAGATCTGCTGAGGGAACTGGCCTCCCCCCGGACAGGTTGACCCCTGCAGCACACCACAGCTGAGGAACAGAGGGAGAATTTGAGAAGACTTATAAAAAGGATCCATAATGAGCTGTTCTTTGCAAGTGCTGTCCAGTATTTGCCTTAACACACCTTCATAGAAGCATCTTTTTGGTCCAGAGGTCTCAAGTAAACCGGTACTGGTAAGTTCATCTTGTTTTCCACTTGTCCACCATTTGCCAGCTTTAAAAACAACAGACAATATTGCACTAAAATGTGACTGGGAGAATTAGAAAACCCAAACTTCAAAATTGTTAATATCCTTTCTCAGTTTGTTCAGGGCATTAACCCAAATAGGATGTAAGTTGATGTTATTGTTCATAGGTTAAAGTCTTAGGTACATAATTATACTTCCAGCTCCCACCTTGTGTTTGCTGGGCAGACTCCAGCCATGCACCGTGACTCGTCCATCCTCCCTCTGCATGTGGGCCTTGACCTGTCGGTATTGGGCTTTCTGCTGCTCCTTACGAGAGGGTGAGCTGCACTGCTCCGTTCTAGAGCCAAGTTGCAGAAATGTTATTAGCTCACAGATCCAGCACACGTGTGCATAATACACCAGTCATGAGAGTGCTTACCCTTCATTTACAAAGTCAAAAATCTTAGACTTCTCTGTGGGGAACTGAGAGAAGGTGCTGCTCCTCTTTACCAGACTTCCAGGAGCGTTGTACTTTGTGGACTGGGAATCGACTCTCTTGATTGAAGGAGCACTGGTGGAGCTAAACAGCCTGCTGAAGCTGCAGGTGGACAAGTTAAAGAAAGCCAAGAAGGACACAGACACAACAGATGAGAGAGGCAAAGAGCAAGGCATTGGGGTCACTAACCAGACAGAGGACCAACAACCATCATCCTTTTACATTAATGTACAAGAAGGCATGCTAGGAGATGTAGTATGACTGAGCTTTTTCTATTACACGATTCTAATATAAAGCTGTGAATTCAAACATCTTTTCAACTGTATGTTTTTGATTGTATGTTGGGGCAAAACATTGCAAATTTAATTAAATAAAGCCCCCAGTTGAATAATAAAACATACTGAATAAACATCTGTATTGCAAAGCTATAATGATTGATATCCCTCTCTCTCTAAATTGCAGAGAAATCATCTAGAATTGTTGAATCCATTCCTGATTATTTAAAGATCTATTTGCAACTTTTGAGAACTTTAGAAACTGCAGCTAAAACCTGATTTAATAACATGGTATTCAACGGAATAGAATGTTATATTTGCACAGTTCTCTATGAGCTAGAAGAGTGTGGAAACATCAAAAGGTACACAGCAGGCGTGAGACGGGACAGCCCAAGGCACAAGGAAAGTCAAGTCTGGGAATTTAGATACAACAACAACTGGTGCACTGCACGGAGAGCAGAGAATATGGATAAAGACTCATGAAAATGTTTTCCTTTGAGAATGGAAGGGTTGTTCTATGAGAAAGAAGGGTAAAGCAAAGGTTTGACAAAAAGAAGTTCTATCAAGTCATCTTTACCTAATGCTGCCAAATCAATTGCACATCCCAGAAAAGACAAGACAAAGAATGTGTGTGAAGATCTAAAGGGAAAGGTCAACTTGGAAAGCTACTTGGGAGCCATGTAAAAGTATAGCCCTGACAAAAGGTATGTAATATAGCTCATTTCAGAGTACTCACAACTGCCATATGCTGGATTTCTTTTTTTCTGTGAGCGTTGGGTTTTCCCTTGAAGCCCTACAGAAGAGGAAAATGTGTTATCTTGTTAGGTTTTGTTTTTCGAGGCACAAGAAAAAGCTGATAACTTATAATTGTATAAATAATTACATTTTACCTGATCATCTCTGTCCACCGCACAGCTTCTTGTAGCTCCATAAGTCTCTCCTTATACTGATTTCTCTCCATCAACACTCTGGCCATCTCCACTCTAGTGAAGCGCCTCCTTTGAGCTGTCGGTACATCACTCTGCAGCAGTCAACACAGAGAGAAATGCTTATGGGACTTGAAACAGAACAAACTGTCTATGTTTTAAAAGACGAAAAAAACTCACATCTTCTTCATCCTTATTTTTCTGTTTTACTTCCTCCACTTCCAGCCGTACTCTGGAAAAGATTGTTTGATACTGTGATCATGATTTTAATCCAAGTGACAACTAGTTCAAGTGGGATGTTCCACACCACACATCTTATAGACATAATCTCTAAGATTTTTATTTGTTTTAACAATATTCTTCACCATGAGCACCAAAAGACGCTTGCCATCATATTGTCAATGAATTAGAGAGGAACTCGGTCAGTGTATGACGCAATACTTCAAAGATAGCAAAAACAGGAATATCACAGTCTTGTCAAAGTGACACTATGAGAGAGACGTCAGTATCAGGTTAATTTCACGCCAAAGAAAGGAACGTTTTTATAAATGTTTCAGGCGCCTTTCAGAGTGGACAGAGCCTATCTATGGTCTGCTGTCATCTGTGGCATAGACTGCAGGTCATGCTCAATTAAACAGGCCGTTAGAACTTTCTGCTATCAAACGATTCCTTTATTGTTGCTAACACCATTTGGTATCAGCATAGTAAATCCACAATGCTGATACTTATGGACACTTCCTTTTTTTCCTTTCAGGTCTTTCATTGCCTACTGCTCAGAATATTTTTCTGGTTACCATGGTGCTGGTGTCTGCCCCTATAGTTGGATGCCTAAAAAAAAGTGATTGTGACAAAAACTGTTTCTCTCTAAAGAGTTCAGAGAGTGTTAAATTTAAGCAGCCAATGTGGCATCGTGCCCTTTCCACTCATATGGACACAAGCCCCGGAGTGGATGCAGCTCTGACTCTTACTTTTTGAGCTCTTCTTCCAGCTCTTTGTTTTTCTCCTCTAGCTTGGTTTTGGCCTGCAGCACAGCCTCCAACTCTCCATCCAACATCTCCTTCTCACATGTCAACTCATCCACCTTCAGTATCAAGTCTTTATTCACCACATTCAAGGCATTTCTGAAAAAACAAAAAACAAAATCTTTAACTGCTATATATTTTCCAGATATGTTGGATATTTAAAACAGGAACAAAAACTTAAGATGTCCATCTAATTACTTACTTTGTCTCGAGCAGCTGTGAGTTTTCCTGAATTAGATTTTCTACTTCCCGACCCATTCCTGAACAGAGGTGAGGCTAACATTACTATTATACTAAACAAAATGTTTTTGTTTTTTGAAACACTAAAACAATTATAGCTACGTTGACACTACAGTCTAATTACATAAAGATCAGATCCAACAACACGACATGCAACATGAAATATCTCCTAATGAGCTGTAGTGCTACAAACTACGACATCACACTAATCCACAGCACATGCCACTTGACTGACAGGAGAAGAATGGATAGAGAGGATGAGGTCTTACCAATCAAACTAAGGTCTGAGAAAACCATGCAATCCGAGTCAGGCGGAAAGTGTAGGGAAGAGAGAGAGAGAGACAGAAATGCGGATATAGGTTGAGACAGTGGAATGAGCAAAATGATGATGGAGCCAGAGCTGTGTAGCCGTTGACTCCACAAAAAAAAAGGAAGAGCTGCTGCCAAACCTCTTGTGTTTGTTAAATTTAACAACTGCAGCAGCACAAGGGTAAATAAAACAAGGGCAAAAAATAGGTTCTAAGATTATTTTAAAAGCTATTACAGCAGCAAAATAGGAAGCACTGAACCCAGTCACTCATGCACCAAACTTTAAAGACAAAACAGTAACTGAAGAAAAACAAATTGCATTACTGATAATGCTGGATGCCAACTGTTATCAAACATAATGAAGATGAAGTTCTGAAGTGGAGCCATGGTGGATATGACAGGAGGTGGTGAATGGGTAGAGGTCAAAAGGGATATTACAGAAAAATAGTAAGATGAGGGAGATGTTTTAGGTCATACACACCAGAGTACTCCACTGGGATAAGGACAAAAGCCAGAGAATGAGACACGGGAGAGAGAGAGGTGATGTTAACATGGCTGGATGGTTAAAAGTGCACATAAGAGCTGAACCAGAGCATGTGATATGGCATCCCAGCAAAGAACAGGTGCTGAAGTTAAAGTGACTGCATTAAGGGTAAAAACATCTGCTGCTGCTGCTGCTGCTGCTGGTCAACTTTAGAAATAAAAGCTTGTGTAAATAAAGAGCTTTACGGCTGGTTTAGAAAAATAAATAAAAACACAAACACATGGACAAAAAGACAGTGATTACCCTTAGATGGCATTCATATATCTAGTACAGAACAGTTATTACACTTAAACAGTTGCAGTCTGGAAAAAAAGAAACCAAAATCACATCTCAGTTATTTCAATCTAAACTAAACTTAAGGCCTTAACTCAATATAAGGCCACAAAAGTTTTGGACTGTTTCCACCTCATGGAAATCCTGATGTGGAAAAATAGCACTGGACTTGGTCTCACATTGATTCTGAATAGGTGAATGAAGATAGTTTTGACAGTCGTTTAGATTTGATCGCAGCTATATCAATTTATTCAAAATACCTATGTGATTAATTGCAATGACAGGTCAACCAGCAAGCAAAGTTAAACTGTGATTTGAGCATAGCTTGATAGATTCAGATTAAAACAGTCTGGAGGAGTTTGATCAGCACCACAATGTAGATGCATTAATAAACTCCAAATGAAAACATATTCAGTTTTCAATAAGCACACATCTATTTATATAAATGCTGCATGTTTCTTGACTTTTCTGCCTTTTTAAGAAAAAGGAAAACACATATCACACAAGTCATTATTAATTTCAAAGATTGGATACATGTCTTCTGAAAGGGCTCTGCTGCTCCTGTAAAGATGAAGTTCTGACTCACCCAGCAGATCGGCCCCTTCATCCACATCCCCAATGAGCCCGGTGCCTGCAGACGACAGCTCCTCAAAGAGGGAGTCTGTGTTACGGTCAAATGCCATGTTCTCAATGCCTTTGGTAGGAGTGCTGGAAAAGCACAGCAAAAGGGATGTTTAACTACACAAAAAAAAAGCCCAAACAGTGTACTCCTTCCACTACCTGCATGGTTTGTATCCAATGAGATCCATGTCCAGCTCAGGGGTGGACTCTATGATATCCTGTACATCAGCACAATCCTCATTTTCAGGCAAACCTGCACAACAACAACATGATAATAATAATAATAATAATAATAATAACAATAATAATAATACTACTACTACTACTACTACTACTAATACTAGTAATAATAATAATAATAATAATAATAATAATAATAATAATAATAATA